CTGTACGTATAGTTGGGATTATTTTTTTCCAATGTGCATTACTTTACATTTATCAATATTACATTTCATTTGCCATTTTTTTGCCCAATCACTTAGTTTGGTGAGATCTTTTTGAAGCTCTTCACAGTCTGCTTTGGTCTTAACTATCTTGAGCAGTTTGGTATCATCTGCAAATGTTGCCACCTTACTGTTTACCCCTTTCTGCTGGCCATTTATAAATAGGTTAAATAGGACTGGTGCCAATACAGACCCTTGGGGGACACCACTAGTCACCTCTCTCCATTCTGAAAACTTACCATTTATTCCTACCCTTTGTTTCCTATCTTTTAACCAGTTACCAAACCAACGAGAGGACCTTCCCTCTTATCCCATGACAACTAACTTTACTAAAGAGCCTTTGGGGAGGGACCTTGTCAAAGGCTTTCTGGAAATGTAAGTACACTTTATCCACTGGATCCCCCTTGTCTACATGCTTGTTGACCCCCATAAAGAACTGTAGTAGATTAGTAAGACATGATTTCCCTTTACAGAAACCATGTTGACTTTTCCGCAACAAACACACAGATAAATTATGTTTATCTATGTGTCTGACAATTTTATTCGTTTCTATAGCGTCATCTAATTAGCCCGGTACTGACATTAGACTTATCGGACTGTAATGGCCAGGATCACCTCTAGAGCCTTTTTAAAATATTGGCATCACATTAGCTATCTTCCAATCATTAGATACGGAAGCTGATTTAAAGGACAGGTTACACACCATACCTAATAGTTCCGAAATTTCACATTTGAGTTCTTTCAGAACTCTTGGGTGAATGCCAAGTAATGGGGCGATGGCCCCAAGCTCACAATATTCTGGCACCCCTGCCTACATGCTATCACTATACAAATAATGTTAATTGTCACTGAAAACAAAGTTCCAGGTGAAATTGGTAAAACTTCCATGGGCTTCAGTGTGGCCTAGATTTTATCCAAAGGCTTTGAAATCCTTTGTAGGGAAGGTGCCATAGAAATAAATGATACTGTTAGCAGAGATGGTCAAAAATGTAAGTAACTTCACAGAAAAATGACTTTTTGTTGTTTTAAATGTGTAGTGAAATCCCCTCCCCCCCCCCCCCTTTTTTCATTTTTGGATTCAACCTTCATCAAAAAGCAGAACATTTCAGATCCAAGCAACAATGTTGTGGGAAATGTTCATTCTGGCAGAAAAGGCATTTCTGTCCAATCAAAGGATGTTGATTAACATGTGTCAACGAGATCCAAACATCATAGTTCTTTCGGGCAGTGGAGTCCTGGGATCTGGGGAGATATTCTCTCAGTGCCTAGTACACCACACTGCATTTCCCTGGATTTGGGTATCTTTTTACAAGTCAGAATTGTGGTAGCATCTGAGAGCAGCTTACTAAGCTGACTGTTTTAAATCTTATCTAGGTCTCAGAGGCTTTGAGAAATGCAGGTATAAGGTGCACGTTAATATGCAAACAATGGATCGTTTCTCTCAAAGATGAGATGGGTTTTGCTGACAAATGTCCTCATTTTTGCAGCTTTTTCCCCACTCCCCGCCCCCCTACACACACATATGATTTCCCAAGAGCTTTTTGTGCTTCCCTGGGATTTGAGTTCCTATCACAGGTAAGTTGCAGCAAGAGGATCAGCCGTCTCCGTGTTTGATTGCAGCTGCAGTTAATCTGTAGGAAACCTATGCTACAAATTATATTAAGTACCAAGCACAATAAAACATGCCGGGTAAACACTTCACTAGACAGTGCGAAGATTTTATCCGAGCTGCCACTTCACGGTCCAATGGTATAGCATTAATAAAAGAGACTTGTAATGGCCTGGAATCACACCTGGGCATGATAAAGACTTCGCAGCGGAAAGGACTATTTCCAACTCCCATCTTCCAACATTTCACCCTTTTTATTTCAGTTTCATGTCCATTATTATGTTAATTACTCATTAAGTATTATCAGCATTGTGACAAATGTGTGCTCTGCTCTTCTCTACAAGTAAACCTGCAGATGAGGGTCATAAACTCTCTGGATAGGCACTAAAACAGGATCCTGCACTCTAAAGTATTTTAATAAAACTAATTAATGATACTCTTCCCTTTTATAGCACCGGTCACCCCAAGATCCCAAAGCTCTTCAAATGTTATATAAACCTCACCACTTCCTTACTATAGCCATTAAAAAGCTAGAAAACCAGGGGCACTGAGAAATTAAATGGTCTTTAAATGAGTCAACTGCAGGTCCTAGAATGGGATCCAGGAATCCTGACCCAAGTCTTACGTGTTATAAACAATCACACCATCACAAATGTTCATCCGATTGTTTGTTACACTGAGCAGGGTAATTTGGTCAAACAAAGGCACATAAATGTCTAACAAGATCTCATCAGAATCTGATATTTACTTAGCGCCTGATTTCCACAAACACAGAGAAACTGGTAATTATGACAGGCGTTGTGGAGGACAGTTTGAAAGACAGTCTTTTCATTCTGTGTGTGCACCATGGAGCCCTGATCTGAGAGGTGCAACCACAAGACATATGTTAATTCACCATAATAATAATCACCGGGGGGAAAAAAATCAAACATTATACATTATATGCTCTCTCCTGAATTTTAGCTTCCCCTAGATGATCCCACCGAGAATTGCTTTGACCAATGACCGCAGCCAGGGCAAATGTCAGCTCAAAGGGGAAAAGGTCATTTTGCTTTTCCTTTTGAGCTTCTCTCTCCAGACCTTAGGGGTAAATGCCGAGGTTTGAAAGCCAGCTGATAATGGCTAATGTTGCAACTCTGACCTGCAGCAATTGCCTTTCATGCGTGGTAAAACTTGCCAACCACAGTCACTTACTCAAATAGAGATCTGTTCTTTATAAAAACCCTTTTCTATAGGTCCAGGTTAATCTTACTCCAGGAGCCTTATGGGAGAGTAAACGACAAGGAAAGTGGTCCTTTGAGATGCAGTGTTACCTTCTTTCACTTTCTGTGCTGCACGCACCTCACAGAACATATTCTAAACTATAAATACACTGTATTGTTCCAAAGCCATGACCTACCTGATTTAACCTGTAGATAAAGGTTACATGAAATGGTCACGCTGTACCTTTAACTGTTGCCTTGCTATTTGGAGATTGCTTGCCTAATTCTTTATAGGGCCCCCATCACCATAGTAGCTGAACACCTGCTATCGGTGACACCTAGAATTTCGTTGGCTCAGAAAAAAGGTACAAGGAATCACCTGGTAGTAGAATAATTAATAGTCTAAGGAATTTTCTTTTAGAGCCTCTTTTTGACTTGAAAATGAGACATGTCCCCTCCTTGACATCAGAGACTCAGATTTCAAGAGGGAATGAAATTATGAAGACATGTAGCGCATTCCCACAAGACAGAGCAAGATTGTTCTCTCTAGGATGTTGCTAGTCCTCAGTCAGCCCTGTCTACTTTTTAAAATCTCCAGTAACGGGGCTCTCTCCTCCCTCGCGACTTACAAGAATAGCGACACACACCACACAAATCCTTAGTGTCTTGGACACTCTGGGATTTTTAAGTACAGCCCCCTTCTTCACTGGGTTACAGATGAGATATTTTCTTACAGAAGCCACAGGCTTACAAAGAAACATAATGAAGCAATGAGAAAGTCGCACAGTGCGGATAACAGCACAAGTGAGAGAGACATCCAGAGATCTAAACGACTGACATCTTTAGCGGCTCGACACCTCATGCCAGAGTCGGAACACTCTCTGGTATTCAGTCTGTGTGCTACCTGCATAAACGCCCATTTCAGTTGTCAAAACAAATCACATCACATGTAATTTTTTTTAGCAGCAACTGTTCAGCTCCTCACACAACCCCCCCAACCTTTCCTATCTCAAGTGAGACAGGAAAAAGCATAAATGGTTTGCAATGGGGCATCATCTTTTTAATATATTTGGTGCACGTTTTGAAGCCATTGGCTGTGTCCTAGGGGTTAGCCAGCTGTGCACTTGCTAAATCTGCCCCCAAAGATCTCAGGAAAACAAAAACACAGTACAAGGAGAACATCTAATCCTGGCTCGCCAGTCCAAGAGACGTGCCATGACCCGGACTACTTCAGATCATCCCCTATGTGCAATTCAAACAAACGCTGCAAATAACAACCCCTGCACAACTCCACTGTGAAAACGTTGCATGTCCACATTGCACACTTAAGGCTACGTACTCCATCCACAAGGCACATCAGGCTGGTACACACTGGATCTATGGCAATCTACACCAACTAAAGATCTGTTCTATTGAGTCAACATTGTCCTCCATCCACAAGGCACATCAGACTGGTACACACTGGACCTATGGCAATCTACACCAGCTAAAGATCTGTTCTATTGAGTCAACATTCAGGGGATGGGGACCCCGGAACATTGATCTGTAGAGACTGAAATATTGTTTTATTTTCCAGAGACTCCTACTAGCCGGAGGCATTGGAGGAGTTAGATGGTATGTTCAAAAATCTGCTCAGAGACACAGTTTTATCCCCCCTGTGGTACCTTGTCACTGAACAAGAAGCCTCGTGTGGATTTAAAAAGAGACTCCGGATTTCTGTGCATACTAAGACTGTCCAAGGTTGCAACAGGACCTATTGAAAAGAAACAGGCATCCTGGACCAGATACAAACCCTCCTGCTCCCCCGCACAAGCCAGCCACTGGCTAATGAGATTTGGAGGAACTTTCCCTAGGGAAAGGCCAGATCCGCCAGGTGCCTTTCACCTTCCAGTGTAGCAGCTGGCCCTGGCCACCACCAGCCACAGACTTGCCCCCTTGTCCAATCCAGTCTGGAGTCTCCCGCATTCACACTGGGACTCAACCCTCCAGGGGCTTTAAACCGCAGCCCCGAGCAACCCGGGTGCTTTTCTGTCCGCTCCGGTCCCCGCGCTCGGAGGCGAGGACGCAGGAGATCTCGCTCCCGGAAAGTTGGCTGCCAAGCCCGGAGAGCCGCGGGCAGCGGGCAGACTCACCTGCGAGGATCAGCATGGCCAAGTAGAGGATCCCCCTCATCC